GCGAGATCCTAAACTAACTTCGACCCCGTTAAACGCGGTTTTTATAGTTACGCCCTTTGTTTTTGAAACTGCCACGCTTGTTCCCCATAATGATTAGCTCTACGCGGTCTAAACCCATCCTCACTATTTCTAATAAGCGGGAATCCCGTCGGCATTTTTTTGCATTAGAGACCATAAATAAAGCGCGTTCGCGTCTTACCCCTTAATGGCCTGTACCACCTTATTACTATTCCCCCTAATAAAAGTTTCAACCTTTTCGTGGTGTCTATGAAAAATTTTGGAGGAGCCCCCTACGATATTATTTCTGATTGTTTTATGTAACTCTAATTTGCGCTTGGACCACAAAGAAAAGAAACGTCTTCGGGAAGTGTTTTAAAAAGGTATTTTAAGGTTACCACAGGGACAGAAAAAGCGTCTTTGAAAAAATCAACCCCTAAATTTTTGTAAAAGTTAGTTTGTTGCTCGAGCTCCTCGATAAATAGTTTAACGTCAATATTGGTATGCCATATAAGAAAATCTTTAAAAGTTTGCATCCCCTTCTCTACCCAAATTTGCCTACACTTCGCGTACTCGTCGTCTGAAATGTTACAATTTTTTAATGATGAAAAAAAAAAGGCCGAATGCGGAGGTAAACAAGATTCGTTTAAGGACGGCTACATTTTTTGACATATTCGTATGGGGAAAATCCTTTGGTCTCTTTAACATTATACGCGTCGAGGAATTTACTATAGCTAAACCCGAGTGCTAGATAATTAACTATAACTAAGAACTTTAATTTGTTTGTTGGTATAAACTTGAGATTATTATTTCTTTTAACTACATAGTTTGAATAAGCTAAAAAGTACTGAATGAAATACGGTTTACCGAGATTTATATCATATTTTCCTAAATTAAACTTTATAACCGGCATTTCTAATCTAGCGCTAAGAAACCTATCAAACCCTTTGTCGTTCGACTTATTATTGCTACCTCTAGATTTAGGTGGAAATAGCTTCCTGATTTGCTTAAAAATCGGATCGAACTGTTTTCTCAAAATACCATAAGCTGCCTCGGCGATTGCATGGAGTCTGTCAATAACTCTAGTCACTAATTCTTGGAGGTCCCCAGTCAATCTACGTTTGAGGCTACAGAGCAAGACAAAGGCACGAGCTTGGCTACGCTTTTTGTAACTCTACCTAACGTGGGTAACTCGGTATGGTTGAAATAGCATTCAAAATCATAAGTTGCGCGGAAGGGTTAAACAATGTTAATATCTACATCCACCCCGTATGATGCTAAAATCTCCCAGATTGTTTTCTGTGTATGATAAAGCCCCCATTACATCCTTTCGTGTGTCTGTTCAATTGCTTAATGGTGGGCCATAATTTGTTACACAGAGAACACGCGAAAGAGTGACCCGCCCCATCTATATTGTTAATGTACATAAACTGATTTTGAAAATATAAAAGATATATGGTCTCCCTAAAGCTATCACTACTTCTAAGTTTCGGACAAAGGGCCTGATTTTCATTAAATTTAAAAATGTCTATGTTTAAACTAAAGCAGGACTCTAAGAGGGGTACTTCGACCAAACTAACCCCACTAAAATTATCCATGTGTGATGGGTCAGGGCTGGATGGCTGGTTGATTGGGATGATTGCATAATTGATGAACTGTCTGGTGATTGGATCGAGTGGATGCTTGGGTAGGTCGCTGGCTGTAGAATAAAAATAAAATAAATTCAAAATTAAAAAATAAAAAAAAATAAAAAAAACATTTGACAATTTTAAAAACTTTAGTTATACTTTAGTGGGTTTACTTAAAACAAAACTAAATTAAATATTAAACCTACCTCAGTGTTGGTTTGAACGTCTTAGCCGGATCTGTAGTTGTGTAATTGGCTGTGGATGGGTCGGATGGATAGGTAGCTCAATGGTTCAGTATATGGGTTGGCTGTCTCATTGGGTCGGTTGTACACGAAAAATGTAAAGCGAATACATTTGACTTCTTGTTTGGAAACCGATTTCATTAAATGGTATAAACCTATTTTCAGTAGCGATCTAGTGTTTGTCTAGACTGTACACTACAAAATTAAAGTATACTACAAAATTAAAGTAAATACATGTGAGTGCTTATTTTAATAAGATTTATTTAAAGGTTATTTTAAATAAGGGGGTTAGCTCTCATAAAACAAAAGTAATATTAACTTTACCTTTAATGTTAATTCCTAAGGTTAAGAAAAAAGTGACAAAGTAGGCGGTCCGTGGTGGGTTAGGTAGATGTGTTGGTTGGTCTGGCGTCCTAAGCTGGCGGTCTCAGGCTGGTTAAATGGAGGTGATGCTTGTTCTGGACTACGAAGTCGAAGTGACTTAGAAAAAAATTCTCGCGTTTATTTATACTTTTGGTCGGTTGAGGTGTGGCGCCAGACTGTCTCGTACTGGCCAGATAGTATTAAGATAAAAAGTAAATACTTGGCCAGACCGGCGCCGAAAACCAATTACTTTTACCCTGGCGTGAGGAAGGACAAAGAAAAAACGTAGGTTAGAAATAACCTTGGCGTGCCGGCGCGGCAGGGGGAGATAACCCCCGTGGGAACGGTATTCAGATAAATAGTAATTGCTTCGCGGAAAAGCCATTCAACGATCGTAAATAAACTCTGCTCCGAATACCGCGGCATACAGGAGACGGTGCTCACGTTCCAATACACCATGTGAACCCGTACCTGTCGGCCATAAATCAAGCTCGCTGTCAAGCCGACTGGGAAAAAAGCCATTAATCACCGCCGGTAACGGTCAAACAGGCACCCGCCGAAAACTTCGCTGGCGACCGAAGTTATTTGATGTGTGGAATAATTTGTAGCAGCTGAAGTTAATGGTTGTTGGGACCCGACACAAAGAAATTCTATTTTTGTACACGCTTGTCAGAAAAAAAAAACAAAAACACAAATAAACAAAAAAACAAACAAGTAATGAAAATGAATTAAAACAAACAAATTAAAATTAAATTTCAAAATTACAAATTTAAAAATTAAAAATTTAAAAATTTAAAATTTAAAAATTAAAAAAAAAAAATTAAAAGTTGAAATTAAAAATTAAAAATTAAAAAATTAAGGGGAAAAAAAATCACAAAATTTCTTGCTTTTCGTCATGATGGGTTTCTTGCACTTTTGGATACTTTGTCCATTGTTGTATTAAGAAAATAATATCTTTAAAGAGAAAAAAAATATTTTATGTGTTTGAATTACGATTTTTATGACCCTATTAATTAAAAAATAATCAATTTTTCCCAATCTTACAAGCTCTCTATGGAAAGTTTTATATCCGTTATTATATTGTATTTGACATCATTTGAAAGCTGGATTTCTCATGTATTTAATAAACTTTATTTCCGACATCTCGGAAACACCCAAAGCTTACAATCGGCTTTACAGTTTACACAGATATGGTACTTTCCTGACCTAGTTTTTGTTACTTTTGGCTGTTATTCTCAGTTCGCAGGTTTTTAACACTAAAAAGCCTGCTACTTTTTATTTATTAAACAATGCCAACCATATTTTTAGTAAATATTCTTGATGCAAAAATACAACTTTTGTCACGAGGGAATTGTGATTGCTTTCATAGAATAAAAGTATTTGGTAATTAATATGCACATTTGAAACTTTTGAATACTAAAAAGGGTACGTTTTTTTAGACCTTGTAAAATTCTTACTAGTAATTATTTCAAAAAGTTGTCGTGACAAAAGTTTTAATATATATAGAAATATAAACAGTTTAAATTTGATTGCTATAGATGCATAAATAAAAAAGCCTTAGTATTTTCAAAAGTACCGAAAAATGCAAAATTGCGGAGGTTTTTTGGTTTCCATGACAACCAAAATTGTTTTCGACCCCTTTTTTTTGCTGTTTAATACTTACTTTTATATGCCAAACATGATTAAAGTATTCAAAAGGCTTTAGATCTTAAACTGTAAAAAATAGAAAAAAACATAGCATTTCCCCTTAAAAATTAAAAAAATTAAAATTAAACTAATTAAAAACAACAAACAAATTAAAAGCTCATTAAAAAAAACAAATAAACAAATTTCGTAACTTAACACCAGTGATTATTATGTAACTAGGTCGCCAGTGGTCATTACGTAACATGGTCACCACCTCCCCTGCCCTACTGACCTACTGACCTACACTCCCTGCGCCTCAGCCACCCCCTGCACCAACGCCAGTTGGCGCAGTATTTTACTATATGTCTTTGTACCTCCGCCTCCGCCACCCCCTGCGCATCAACCACCTGCTGCGCCATTTGGCGGAGTATTTTTCTATATCTTTTTGTACCTCCGCCTCACCCATCTTACCCATGGCTCCTTCACCCTCCGCCAGTTGGCGGAATATTTTACTATATCTCATTGTACCTCCGCCTCTACCACCTGCTCCGTCAGGTGGTGGAGTATTTTACTATATATCCTTTGCGCCTCCGCCTCCCTCTGCGGATGGATGGATAGATGGATGGATGGATGGATGGATGGATGGATGGATGGATGGATGGATGGATGGATGGATGGATGGATGGATGGATGGATGGATGGATGGATGGATGGATGGATGGATGGATGGATGGATGGATGGATGGATGGATGGATGGATGGATGGATGGATGGATGGATGGATGGATGGATGGATGGATGGATGGATGGATGGATGGATGGATGGATGGATGGACGGACGGACGGACGGACGGACGGACGGACGGACGGACGGACGGACGGACGGACGGACGGACGGACGGACGGACGGACGGACGGACGGACGGACGGACGGACGGACGGACGGACGGACGGACGGACGGACGGACGGACGGACGGACGGACGGACGGACGGACGGACGGACGGACGGATGGATGGATGGATGGATGGATGGATGGATGGATGGATGGATGGATGGATGGATGGATGGATGGATGGATGGATGGATGGATGGATGGATGGATGGATGGATGGATGTGTGTCTTTTCATTTGATCATACTCACCGTAAGTGTAGATTAATTTAAAACCTCGGTAAACATTAGAATCATCAGTACGAAATACCAAATGCAGGTTGCTGTAAGAGGTGATGGGGTCAGGTTTAAGTTGGCCACAGTAAACTTGAAGAATTGGATCACTTGTTAACGTCCCGTTGAAAATTTTAAGACTATCAGCGGTGCAGGATTTAACCCTTTCCAAGTAAAAATCTATAAAACTAAATTGAAAGAAAGTGTGTTAATAAAACAAATTGATGTTTTTAACAGCGGCATAAATTAAATCCTCCCAACAACGCAGTTCGGATTGGAAGTGTAGGCGGACATGTAGTATGCTGAATACCAGTGAATTCATCTAATTAAAACATTATTTTACCTATTTTTACAAGTTTTTCTTTAAATTGATTCCTCTGTTTAATCCTATATATCTGTCTCTATAGATTGAAATGGAAGAGCGAAATGTAGGGCACTACTTACCGATCAATTTCTTAAAATTCGGTACGTGGATCATGACCCGATAACAATTTAATATTAAATATAATTAGACTTAATTGGATTATTAATTTTTATTTTTTGTTTATGTATTAATTTTTTAAAAAAATAAAATTCTAGGCAGACGTATCCAACCACCCTAAACTATTATACGTGAGTTATCAATTTCATAAGTTGCGCAATAGTTTGGTCACAGACCTCGATTTTATTACAAACTTTAAATTACTGAAAAAGAAAGATTTTAAAAACTTACAAGCGTGTATGTACTAATGAACTAAAAAGAAGAAAATAATAGATTTAAAAAATATATTATTTATACTATTTAAAGTACTATAAAGAAAAAAGATCCTTTGTTTTCGTTACTTAAAAAAATATAGTATTCATACTTTAGTTGGCTATTAGTAGAAATAGAACAATAAAACGCAAACTTACCTGATTGTTGTCAGCATTTGAGGCTTAGAAGGTATTGTCCAAAAACAAGTATAGTCATATCCATAGCTATGTGGGTAATTTGGGGTAGTTATTAGACCAATGTTGTCGATTGCAGTTGTATTAGCAGGTAAGTACTTTGCTGAAAAACCAATAGCATAACTATATCACATGTTTGTCATATTAGAACAAACAATACATTAAAATGAGAATTGCACAACACCAAAACGATTACTCTTAAATTTCAGTGGAACTTACGTCTGCATCTTGTTGTGTCAATGCTGTCAATGATGTATCCAGGTTGACAAGAGCATGTAAAGTTACCATCTGTGTCTGTGCATGTCTTGTGGCATGGACTTATGGGACTGTTGCATTCATCAGTATCTGACATAGAATGCGTCAGTTAACCTGTAACTTGTATATACCATTTCTTATTTCCCAGAGAGCAAATATCAAAACAACGAAATCAAAGATACTATTGAAGAGGAAAATGAATGTACATTTCCTTTTGTATAAATCAATATATACGGGCCTATATATACTAGCGTAGCCGTCCCCGCGCGTTGCCGCGGTAATAGAAGAAAGCTTGACAAAATATATAAGAAGGGTTTCATCCATTTATTAGTAATGTAGTCTAAAGAGTCTTGCTGGCTAGATCATACTGGTAAATCATACCGGGGGATTTCATTTGTCTAGAGAGTTAAATCTTTTACTTTTTTCTGAAAGTTCCTTTTTGACACAAACATCCGCACAATCCCACGGCCGTTTCCTCAATTTAATTATCCAGGTAAAAAAACATATTTATTTTCTCGATAATATCTTCACAAAAAAGTAACTCTTCTTTGCTATCTTATGAATGCAAATACGAAACAGACAAGCTAACAAACTCACGTCTGTTGATTAATCATCTTGAAAAGCAAACAATGGTGAAATCTTAATTAAATTCAACATGTGTTCTGTAACATCTACGGACTTGTCTGCTAAATGCCGCTGAAAGTTTTAGTAGAAAGAGATGTCTGTTGCATCTTTACTGCACTGAAATCCCCAAGAATTATTTTCACCATCTCCAACAATCAGCGTTGATGGAGGTTTCTCCTATTGTGTGATGGTTTTTTTTTTTTTGGCTCGGCATTCATAATAATATGCTGTGTTTCCTTGGTGCAGCTAGCTTCATGCAAAAGAAATCACCTCCTATTTTTTCTTGGTGTGTTCCAAATGACTCGTTTAAAATGACGATTTAGTTTTAAACGTTTCATAAGCTCATGAATGAGAACAAATTTGCACAATACTCATTGTTTTTTCTCTATTCTATTTCCAGTGACGTTAGTGCAGCCGAATTTCACATATTCTTCTAAATAATATTTATGCAATTTTTTTAAAGATGGGATTTAGTCTACCTGTTGGCGACCCCCCAGAAAGCCATGCGATCCCCCTAAGGTCATAACCCTCAGTTAGGGAACCCATGCTTTTGAGAGTAGTTTGTAGACTGTGCAAGCGTACTGGGTTTACATTTGGTCGTGTCTTGAGTACAATTTTGAATATAGTTTTTTTACACTTTTAAATTATCACTTTAGGTTGATTTAAGTAATAAAACAATAGCAGTCGTCATGTGACACCATTTTTACCACCTTTGGTAGGTCTAGTGGCTCAACTATATGAACTTTATTAGGACTTGTTATGAAACAATAAAAAAAAAATGATCTATTCGGTACAATATACTCATTTTCTTAGCTCTTACAATTTACAAAAAGGTTATCGCATTCCACCCGACCTCTTAGACAGCATGATCTAGGTAAATCAATTATATATATATATATATATATATATATATATATATATATATATATATATATATATATATATATATATATATATATATATATATATATATATATATATATATATACTAGCGTACCCGTCCCCATCGCGTTGCCGCGGGGATAGAAGAAAGTTTGACGAAATGTATTTGAAGGATTTCACCAACGCGTTACCAATCATATGTTCTTAGACGCGTGACCGTCTTTTCTAAAAGTGAGTTATTTAAATGTAAACAATGCCTGCGCTTGGATCATAAATATCGGAACACTGGTTTACCTACACTACCGCATGAAAACTTTGAGTGTACATTAATCACTCACCGAAATAATATGTTAGAACACACTTCGGTGATCGTCCATGTGTCAGAGACGTACAGAGGCGCTCTCAGGGCCCCCACCCCCCCCCCCCCCCGATTACACTACCGCATAGGCGCGGCGTATGACCACTGCTCCTTAAAAGTAATAGGCGCCATCGTGCCAAATAGCATCCTGTTAATAATGATGCAGATTTCATCATTCGCTAAAGTGCCACAAATGAACAAAAAAGTATTTGGCATGTTTTAAACATCAGTGTGACTGATGCAACATGCTAGCGTTACTAATGGTCTATTATTTGATGCTCGATCTCAATTTCTGACTGGATTGTCTAATAGTAGATGCTTATTGCATCATTCGCAAAGTGACGAAACTCTACAGTAGGCTCCTCATATTCAAAAAGTTATTTTTTCATCTTTCGCAAGGTGACGAAACTGTACAGAAGGATTTCCTCGCGTTACAAAGTTATTTTTAGAAGCCTGTTGTAGTTTTACCGCTGAATATAGTAGTACCCCTTACTCGCTATGGAGGACGCTCTATTAACGGATGCCAAGTGCCTACATTAGGGGTCTCCAAACTACGGCCCGCGGGCCGGATGCGGCCCGCGATGTCCCCTCATCCGGCCCGCGGAGATCTTTTTGTCCAAGGAAAAAACGTTTGCTGGTGATGGCTGAGGAACTTTGCCCAGAAAAATCAAAGACATGCCTGGAAGAAACTGGCCCCCGAACTGAAATTTGATAGTTAATGCGGCCCTCGGACTGAAAAGTTTGGAGACCCCTGGCCTACATAGTCGCTCTAAAACTCTGGGCGCCAAACCGTGTATTGACGAAAGTTGTACCCTATAAGGCGCCGCCCATAAGAAACTTTAGTTTTCTTTTTCGCAGAAATATTCTCGGGAGTATTCTCATCTACTCCCTAAAGGTTCATGGCACTCGGATGAACCGCATCAAAACAGCATGTAGTGCACACCATGTCTACATACATGTGTCTTTGCTTTGTATTTAAAAATACACATTAAAAATATTTCACGATATAAAACAAAGTTGTCATTCAACCTTACTCACCGTAAGTGTAGATTAATTTAAATCCCTTGTAACTCACAGAGCCATCATAACGGAATACCAAATACAGGTTGTTAGGTGAACTGATAGGGTCCGGTTTAAACTGACCACAAAATGTGTAAAGCAGTGGATCTCTGATAGTAGTACCATTGTAAATCTTAAGGTAATCATAACCACAGTCTGATGATGTTTCTAGGTGAAAATCTAAAATGCTGGTGACAAACAAAAAGACATAGGTATGTTATTTCTTTACAATTTACTTTACTTTATATATTTTTCTATAAAGTGGTCGATAACATTAATTTTACCAATGTAATAATTAAAAAAATATATACCAAACCAAACCAAACCAAACTCCACTCAACTCAACTCAACTTAGTTCAATTTAATTCAATTAAACTCAAATATATTGTATTGGATCTAAAATGTTAAAACTATAAATAATTACCTGATGATGGTAACCATATGTTGTTTGATAGGTATCTTCCAAAAACACTTAGAACTGACTGGGTATTTCTGCGGGTAGTTGGGGCTAATTATTATACCTGTATTTTCACTGGCATCTGTGTTACACGGTATGTAATTTGCTGCAAGACAAAAATAGTATTATACAAGTTATAAGCCAAATATTAGAAAATGTATTTTTAAGTAAAGTGAATAAAATGATTTGATCGAAAAAACTCCGACTTACCTTTACATTTTGTTGGATTTGTTTTATCAATTATATATCCAGGTCGTTGACAAGAGCATGTGTAACTTCCTATTGTGTTTGTACATACATCCTCGCATGGATTTGAAGTACCGCTGCATTCATCAATGTCTGAAAAATAATTGTCAGTAAACGTCGACGAATACATTTTTTACACTTATACATATTTTCAATTTTTAATTGTGTGAGAACTTCGTTAAATTTAATTTACACAGGCATTTTACAAGAGCTGTTCTGCCGTTTAGTAAAATCATTTCAGGTTACCTTCTGAGAAAAATAATATAGATAATTAAAATTCTATGAGTAATCATTCAATAATAGCTACCACAATAGGCGCCCCTTTAGGTCGGTGCCTAAGGCGGCCGCCCCACCCACCCTTCTTTAGGCAGGAATCTGTTAATATAATAATATAATTATTGTATTTATTTTTTTTTAATTTCGAACATTTCAGATGGTTATCTAATTTTAATTTTGGTTTACTGATCGCTCTAGCGCAAGAGGCGACGTTGTAAAACACGCGCGATTTTTATTTTTAATCGTGTATTTAAATCTCGTTTTCTCTCACTTTTAATTAGAAATCTCTTTAGCCAGGGAGAGATTTAGATTTTCTAACTAAATTAATTGTTCGCGGCACAGGGTGTTATTTCCATGCGAATACTATTAACTTTTCCAATGCCCGTGCTAAGTGGAGTGCCCAGTCTTTGAAAATTGAAATTAATTACATGGGTAGAACTACTTTACTGCGGGGGGGGGGGGGGGGGGACGGGCAGGCCGTTTAGGGGGAGGAGGAGCAAATTTCGACACTACAAAATAATTTTTTGCACCTTGCTAGACTAGTGCTTTTGTTAAAACAAAACCTAAATCAACTACAGCAGTGATTGTTCTTTAGTAACTTACACACATTGTATCGAAGAGAAAAAAATAAACCGGGAGTGATCTCCCCTAAACTTTCTCGAATATTCTTAAATAAAACAACAGGGGATGGGAACTCGGGCTATAGACATGATTTTTAATCCATTTTAAATACTTAAAGTTTTAAAAATAGAATAAAAAATCTCGTAGACAAATTAATTGTACACCAAGTGAACGCCAAATAAAAAAGTGCATAATAGGGCGCAATATTATTAGTACTTTAAAATTTTACATTAGTATTTTGAGAAATCGGAAGTAGCGTAAATTACTACTTCCGGTCAACGGAAATTACTCAAAATTAAAAAGATGGTAGAGAATTAGATTGTTTACTTACATGTGAAATTTCATTTATCTATCTGAAATAGTACTCAAGTTATAGGCTTTTGAAAAATTCAAAGTAGGAAAAGTACCACTTCCGGTTTTCAGAAATCGCTCAGAAGTTCATACGGATCTACGATTTTGATAAAGTACTTATATATGAAATTTCATCAACCTAGCTGTAACGGTACTCAAGTTATCGTGTTTACACACGGACACACACACAGACAGACAGACACACAGACACACGGACAAGATTGCAAAATTATGTTTTTCCGTATCAGTGAGGTGTAAAACGTCGAGATTTGTAAAAATCTCGATTTTTTTTTTTGCACGATTACAAGACTTTCTCTATACGTCGAGATTTGTAAAAATCTCGATTTTTTTTTTTGCACGATTACAAGACTTTCTCTATACTTCGTATATACAAGAAAGTAAAAAAAAAAAACTTCGTAAGTTGTAGAATGAAAAATAAAACACATTCATGACACTATTGATAATTTTCATCGGGCACAAATTAGGTATTTTAAAAATCTCGATTATTTCTGATAAGAAAATGTGTTTCAGCCTATCTCTGTGCTGAATGTTGTCTTATGGTGGATATACTTCGCAATGAACTTTGTTTAATGGTTTAATTTAAAATATATTAAGACAGTCAACTATATATATATATATATATATATATATATATATATATATATATATATATATATATATAACTAGCGTACTCGTCCCCACACGTTGCCGCTGGAATAGAAGAAAGTCCGACAAAATATATAAGAACGGTTTCATCCATGCGTTACAAATCCTATATTCTTAGACGCGTGGCCTTGTTTTCTAAAAGTGAGTTATTTAAATGTAAACAATGCCTGCGCTTGGATCTTAAATATCGGGACACCGGATTACCTACACTACCGCTTGAAACACTTGAGTGTACATTAATCACTCACTGAAATAATGAGGTAGAACACACTTCGGTGACCGCCCGTGTGTCAGGGACGTAGAGGGGCGATCTCAGGAGTCCAACCCCCCCCCCCCCCCGATTACACTACCGTTTGAGCGCCGCGTACGGCCCCTGGCTCCTTAAAACTAACAGGCGCAATCGTGCTCACAGGATAACCCAGAGTGCCAAATAGCATCCTGTTAACAATGATGAAGATTGCTAAAGTGACAAATGAACAGTATTTTTTATTTAACACGTAAAAAAATAATTTGACGTGTTTTAAACATCAGTGTGACTGATTCAATATGTTAGCGTTACTAATGGTCTATTATCAGATGCTCGAACTCAATTTCTGATTGGATTATCTAAAAATAGATACTAATTGCATCATTCGAAAAGTGAACAAAACTGTTTGGATTTTTTTTACGGACAAAAAGAATATAACCTTGGTTATTTTTATTTTTTTATTATTAAAATAAAACGTATTACATGGCTTTCAGCGGCCCATTTGAGCCTTTGGGGGCCGAAAGAGACATTTTTATATGCAGCATAATCGCACCCTACCAGGGGGCCAGAGGACACGCCTGATTCAATTTAGTGAGCGTTTGTAACGCCCCATCCTTTCAATTGTCTATCACACTGTTTAGACCGTACGTAGTCGCCATAGCGCACACGGGAAAGACCATGACGCCTATCGCATCCTGCAAATGGGCCGAACATTCAAAATTAAATCCCCCTCCCCCACCACCCACCTCAGAAACCTTCTCGGGAGTATTCATCAACTCCCTACAGTTTTATGGCACCGGGATAAATTGCGTCGAACCGCAATCGTCTTTTATTTTTATATACAGTATGTTGAGAAAAATCCCACCATTCTGTGGCGCCGCTCTTGCGAAATAAAATATTTTTTTTTTACAGAAACCTTCCCTAGAGTGTTATAATGAACTCCCCAAAGTCTCATAGCTATCGGATGAACGATGTCAAACCAAAATCGACTTTTAGTTTTATATACCGTATATAGAGAAAAAACAAATTGCGTCCTGCCGGGGCGCCACCCCTGCGAATTTGAAATTTTTTTTTAAGCAAAAACCTCCCCAGGAATATTCACAACTTCCCAAAGTTTCACGGCGATGTGATAAGAGATTTAGTAATGCATAAAAGACACACAGAGAGACAGACATACACACACAAACATACATTGCTTTTTATATATATACTATTCTTAGATATTAGATGCTTGATCTTAATTTCTGATTGGATTATCTAAAATAGATGCTAATTGCATCATTCGCAAAGTGACGAAACTGTTTGGATTTTTTACGGACAAAAAGAAACATCAAAGTTAATAATCTAACCGTAGTTAATTTTTCTGATTAATAAAATAAAACGTATTACATGGCCCTCAGCGGCCCATGTAAACCTTTGGGGGGCGAAACAGACATTTTTATATGCAGCCTAATCGAACCCAACCAGGGCGCCAGAGGACACGCCAGATTCAATTTAGTTAGCGTTTGTAACGCCCCATCCTATTCATTGTCTATCACACTGTTTAGACCGAACGTAGTCACCATAGCGCTCACGAGAAAGACCAGGGCGCCAAATCGCATCCTGCAGGGGAGCCGCCCATGCAAAATAAAATCCCCCCTTCCCCACCACCTACCCACACCTATTCACCCCTCCCACCCCAGAAACCTTCTCGGGAGTATTCATCAAATCTCTAAAGTTTTATGGCACCGGGATAAACTGTGTCAAACCGCAATCGTCTTTTATTTTTATATACCGTATATGGAGAAAAATCCCACCATTCCGTGGCGCCGCCCTTGTGAAATTAAAAAAAAAATATTTTGTTTACAGAAACTTTCCCTGGAGTGTTCTAATCAACTCCCCAAAGCCTGATGGCGATCGCAATAACGCCGTGAAACTGCAATCAGCGTTTATTTTTATATACCGTTTATAGAGAAAATCGCACCCTCCTGCGGCGCTGCCCTTGCGAAAATAAAAATCAATTTTTTACAAAACCCTTCCGTGAAGTGTTCTAATCAAGTCCCTGAAGTTTGATGGCGATCGGATGAACGTTGTGAGACCGCAATCGACTTTATTTTTATATTAAAAAATCGCGCCCTGTCGGGGCGCCACCCCTGGGAATTTGAAAATGTTTTTAGCGCAGAAACCTCCCCATTAATCTTCTTAACATTTTCCCAAAGTTTCATGGCGATCGTGTTAACGGTGTCACCGCAATTCGCTTTTAATATTTTTAAATACCTTATATTGAGAAAAATCGCACCCTACCGCGGCGACGCCCTTGCGAAATTAAAAATGATTTTTAAATAGGACCATTTGACAGAGTGTTCTTATGAACTCACCAAAGTTTGATGGCGATCGGATGATCGGTGTCATTGCAATTCACTTTTATTATTTTTATATACCGTATATAGAGAAAAATTGCACCCTCCTGTGGCGCCGCCCTTGCGAAAGTAAAAATGATTTTTTTACAGAACCCTTCCCTGGAGTGCTCTAATCAACTCCCCAAAGTTTGATGGCGATCGTATGAACGCCGTGAAACCGCTATTGACGTTTATTTTTATATACCGTATACAGAGAAAAAACAAATTGCGCCCTGCCGGGGCGCCACCCCTGCGAATTTGAATTTTTTTTTCCAAAAAAACCTCCCCAGGAATATTCACAACAACTTCCCAAAGTTTCACGGCGATGTGATGAGAGGTGTAGTATTGCATAAAAGACAGACAGACACACACACACACACAAACATACATTGCTTTAAATATAATATATAGATATGGGGGCTCGAAAAAAAATAGCGGGGGTGGGAGTTTTAATAAGTTTTGCCTTTGGCGCTAAATAACCTGGCTCCGGCACTGAACTAGGACATTAATATTTGTTTATAATTTATACATTTTAAAGATTTTAACAATGTAGATTTTAATACTATGTTTGTAAAAAGAGATCAGTTACTTTCACTCTTTGCAGGATCTTTTCTACTTATTATATAACCTGATACGCATTACCACAAATAGCCTCCGAATGTGATGGTTCATTTTTGTTGACAGTTTGATTTGAATCTTTGCTTATGCCACTGTATTTTCAATATAATAGATTATGTAAGCTATACTATTGCCAAATTTGGCATATGAAGGTCTAGTTTTCTTTGGAAATTATTTATAGAAATATAACAATGTTATAACTAAGTACTCCCTTAAAACTTTAGATTTTCAAAAAAACGTCTGTGTGAGATAACTTAAATCCAATTTGAAATACCTGCTATAATAACAACTCAATACCCCACATCCCAACCACCCACCGGACTATAGCCCCTGCTCTATTACCAATAACAGGATCGCAGTACGAACACAAAAGTAGTTTAACAGGTTTCAGTATCACTGTTAACATACCAATACACAGACTAAGATTGGCATGACCCCCCCCCCCCCCCGCCTTTGCTTTTGCGGAGTCTGGTAGCATTGTAGTTCCGCTACTGGAGCGTGGTTGAATAAATATCGATGAAGAAAATACTGTTATTTGCGTTGTGCTGTGAGTAATCGTTTGTTGTGGTACTCAATTATTTGTAGTGAACTTCGTCAGGTAAAGCTCCATCCTCATAAACTGCCCAAACATTTGAAATCGACAACTTGGTATATATAAACGATTACAACATATTTTTTAGGAATAATTAATTAAACGAAGAAAGAAAAGTCACATATAAATAGTTCTCTGCTCCCTTTGAGCAAACATAATGCATACACCAAATACTTTCATATCGTATCAAATTAAATTATGTTTCAATAAATCTTATATTTTATATTAAAACGAAAAGTACCAGCCAAGTTTATACTTTAGTCTAAAGATAAAATATTTAAACCGACTCACCATCACACGTGCTAGAGTTCGTACCACTGACGGTGTATCCTGCACTACATGAACACGAGTAGTTGCCAACAGTGTTTGTACAATTCTGCTGACACGGATTTATTGATGAACCGTTGCATTCATCTATGTCTGAAATTTATATTTTTAAACAAAATACTTTTTTACTACAAGGATCTTTCGTATTAAGTATACACAGATTAAGTAAAGAAAAAAAAAAGTTTTGTTATGAAAGTTTAATCAAATAAAACCCTAACCCCAGAAAACTGATCATTTCCATTATTAAATAATGTTGCACCATTGCTTAAATAATCATAAAAAGAAGTGTTATAGTTTCTTGCATTATGTAAGAGTATTAAATAGATAATAAAGCGATCCATACTTTGGGTTCATTTAGTTTAAATACTTTTAAAAAATACTATAGAATGGCAAGCCTAAAACTATTGATCGCAAAATAAAAACAGACAAATTGAGAATGATATAACGGAATTAGTATTTTACCTACGAAATATTGAATAATTATTTAAAATTAGAATTAAAAAATTAAATTTAAAATAAATGTATATCACAATTCGTGTCAATTTAAAAAAAAACATTTCTCGTTTGAAGTGGTCTAAATTTTGATCGTCATTTACAACCCATGATGGAAAAACAGACAAAACATAATTCTTGAAGAATTAAATAAAAGCTGGTCAAAAACCATGTGTCTTTGAAAATTCACTACGTATGTAAATGAATTTATATTTTTGTAAATAACATAATCGCAATGCGATTAAAATAGTAGTTATAAATGTTTCAGGGTTTCTGTTAACATACCAATACACAGATTAGGGTTGGCCAGCCCCATCCCCGCACCGCCCTCCGCATTGTATTTCCGCCCCTGGACAGTAGTTGAATAAATATTGACCAAGAAATAATTGTGCCAAGTGATTCTCGTTTTGATGTGAGTCATCGGTGTATGGGTACTCTTTCATTTATACTGAATCGCGTCAGATAAAACTCGACTATCTCAAACAATCCAAACACTGTGTTTCGATTAAACCCCGGGAATTCGGTGAGTCAGTCTCATGGGTTGGGAAGATGTCAAGACACACCATACTTATATGATTTACGATAGGAATTTTCCATGAGTAAAATATAACCATTACAAATTGATCGATGAATGCGAATATGCAACTGATGGAGTTCGGTACATCCAAAAAGTTTAAAAACTACTGGTTTGTGTAATATGATAATTCTGATACACGTACCTAAATCTGATAACACTTACCTATACATCTCTGGTGATCCGTGCTACTCAGTATGTAGCCAGCGTTACACGAGCACGAGTATCCTCCGTTATTGTTGTTACAAATCTGCTGGCAAGGGCTTCCTGTCTGACCATGACATTCATCGATGTCTGATATTTTATGAATTTGATAGAAACAAATAAGTGTTTTATACTTAATGTTGTTATTTCGATTACACGTGATCATTTATGCTACCGTGTAAAAAATTAATTTTTTTGCTACAACCAGATGTAATAATACCTTTATTGCTAATAAAATAATAATAAATGTTGTCAATAAAAAATTTGGAAACTAAACAATACATAAATGTTATATAAGTTATGTCAGCTGTGTATGCAATAAATTTTATATTTAGTGTGACAATATGTATCATTGTAAAATCTTTAGTTCCTTTTTATGTTCAAAATTTAAAGCCTGATTAAAAAATACTTGTGAATCTTTGGTTTGTGTTGATTTATAAAGTAGAAATTAAAGACCATATCTATTTGCGATTTTGTTTGCAACAAATTATTAGCAATCCTGACCAAAGTTATTATAAAATTTTATGCTATAAACAAGAAAAGAACATTTTTTAATTGATAACTTTGAAAATAGCTCTTATAAATTGCCTCGAGTCTATCCGACTATTTTTTTTTCTTTCAAATTTAAAAGAGGACTATTAGCAACGCGATGAACAGATTGCAATATTAAACTATACGTTTAGTGTTAGAAATAGTGTACTGTGTTCTCTGAAGTTATATATGATGATTTGGACAACGGAAACATTGTAAAATCAGTAACGTCATTTGGGAATATTTAAACTAATTCAACAATTTCTTTATGGAATAATTAATTAAAAGGAGCAAGAACAGTCACATCTAAAAAATTCTCTGCTTCACTATGCAAGAATAAAGCATACGCCACAGAATGTGTCATGTCCTATCATATTAAATTAATTTTCAATAGGTTATATATTTTAAATTAATACAAAAAGTACCAGCCAAGTTTATACTTTAGTCTAAAGGTAACATGTTTAAACTGACTCACCATCACACGTGCTAGAGTTCGTACCACTGACGGTGTATCCTGGACTGCATGAACACGAGTAGCTGCCAACAGTGTTTGTACAATTCTGCTGACAAGGATTTCCTGCTTGGTCGTTGCATTCATCGATGTCTGAAATTTGTATTCTCAAACTAAATACTTTTTTACTACTAGGAACTTTCCTTTCGTATTAAGTATACAAAGATTAAGTAAAGAAAAAATAAATTTTATTAAGAAAGTTTAATTCAATAAAACCCTAACCCCAGAAAACTAATAATTTCCATTATTAAATAATGTTGCACCATTACTTAAATAATCATAACAAAGAACTGTGATAGTTTCTTGCATTTTGTAAGAGTATAAAATAGATAATAAAGCGATCCATACTTTGGGTTCATTTACTTTAAATACTTTAAAATATACAATAGAATGGCAAGCCTAAAGAAATTGATCGCTAAATAAAAACAGACAAATTGAGAATGATATAACGGAATTAGTATTTTACCTAGGAAATATTTAATAGTTATTTATAATTAGAATTAAAAAATTCAATTTAAATAAATGTATATCACAATTCGTGTCAATTTAAAAAAAAAACCATTTCTCGTTTAAAGTGGTCTAAATTTTGATCGTCAGTTACAACCCATGACGGACAAACAGACAAAACATAATTCGTGAAGAAGCAAGTTAAATAAAAGCTTGTAAAAAACCATGTGTCTTTAAAAATTGACAACGTATGTAAAAGAATTTATATTTTTGTAAATAACATATTCGCAATAAGAATAAAATAGTAGTTATAAACGCTTCAGAGTTTCTGTTAACACACCAATACACAGATTAGGGTTGGCCAGCCCCATCCCCGCACCGCCCTCCGCATTGTATTTCCGCCCCTGGACAGTAGTTGAATAAATATTGACCAAGAAAATATTGTGCAAGGTGATTCTTGTTTTGATGTGAATCATCAGTGTAGGGGTACTCTTTTATTTATAGTGAATCGCGTCAGATAAAACTCGACTATCTCAAACAATCCAAACACTGTGTTTCGATTAAACCCCGGGAATTCGGTGAGTCAGTCTCATGGGTTGGGAAGAGGTCAAGACACACCATACTTATATGATTTACGATAGGAATTTGCCATGAGTAAAATATAACCATTACAAATTGTTCGATGAATGCGAATATGCAACTGATGGAGTTCGGCACATCCAAAAAGTTTAAAAACTACTGGTTTGTGTAATCTGATAATTCTGATACACGTACCTAAATCTGATAACACTTACCTATACATCTCTGGTGATCCGTGCTACTCAGTATGTAGCCAGCGTTACACGAGCACGAGTATCCTCCGTTATTGTTGTTACAAATCTGCTGGCATGGACTTCCTGTCTGACCATGACATTCATCGATGTCTGATATTTTATGAATTTGATAGAAACAAATAAGTGTTTTATACTTGATGTTGTTATTTCGATTACACGTGATCATTTATGCTACCGTGTAAAAAATTAATTTTTTTGCTACAACCAGATGTAATAATACCTTTATTGCTAATAAAATAATAATAAATGTTGTCAATAAAAAATTTGGAAACTAAACAATACATAAATGTTATATAAGTTATGTCAGCTGTGTATGCAATAAATTTTATATTTAGTGTGACAATATGTATCATTGTAAAATCTTTAGTTCCTTTTTATGTTCAAAATTTAAACCCTGATTAAAAAATACTTGTGAATCTTTGGTTTGTGTTGATTTCTAAAATAGAAATTAAAGACCATATCTATTTGCGATTTTGTTTGCAACAAATTATTAGCAATCCTGACCAAAGTTATTATAAAATTTTATGCTATAAACAAGAAAAGAACATTTTTTAATTGATAACTTTGAAAATAGCTCTTATAAATTGCCTCGAGTCTATCCGACTATTTTTTTTTCTTTCAAATTTAAAAGAGGACTATTAGCAACGCGATGAACAGATTGCAATATTAAACTATACGTTTAGTGTTAGAAATAGTGTACTGTGTTCTCTGGAGTTATATATGATGATTTGGACAACGGAAACATTGTAAAATCAGTAACGTCATTTGGGAATATTTAAACTAATTCAACAATTTCTTTATGGAATAACTAATTAAAAGGAGCAAGAACAGTCACTTCTAAAAAAATCTCTGCTTCACTATGCAAGAATAAAGCATACGCCAAAGAATGTGTCATATCGTACCATATTAAATTAATTTTCAATAGATTATATATTTCAAATTAAAACAAAAAGTACCAGCCAAGTTTATACTTTAGTCTAAAGGTAACATGTTTAAACCGACTCACCATCACACATGTTGCGGTTTGTACTACTGACGGTGTATCCTGGACTGCATGAACACGAGTAACTGCCAACAGTGTTTGTACAACTCTGCTGACAAGAATTTCCTGCTTGGTCGTTACATTCATCGATGTCTAAAATTTGTATTTTCAAACTAAATACTTTTTTTACTACTAGGAACTTTCCTTTCGTATTAAGTATACAAAGATTAAGTAAAGAAAAAATAAGTTTTATTATGAAAGTACCAGCCAAGTTTATACTTTAGTCTGAAGACGACATATGTTTAAACCGACTCACCATCACACGTGCTAGAGTTCGTACCACTGACGGTGTATCCTGGATAACATGAACACGAGTAACTGCCAACAGTGTTTGTACAACTCTGCTGACACGGATTTCCTGTTGGACCAATGCATTCATTGATGTCTGAAATTTGTATTTTTTTTCGTATTTAGTTTACACAGATTAAATAAAGAAAACATACGTTTTAATAACAAAGTTTAAATCAATAAAGCACTAAACGCAGGAAACATTATTTTTATATTTAAATAATGTTGCACCGATATTTAATTAATTAAAAAGAAAAGCGTTGTTGTGGCTTGCATTTTGTAAGAGCATTTAAAATAGATAATATAGTGATCCATATTTTAGGTTCATTTTGTTTAAATACCTTTAAAAACAATTCTATAGAATGGCAAGCCAAAAAATAATTGATCACAAGGTAAAAACAGACAATATGTGTATAATATATGTTTAATAGAGCATAATTAATATATTATCAGGAAAATTTAAACAGTTCTTTAGAATATGTATAAAAAATTCATATTAATAAAATTTATTTTCACAATGCATTATCATCGGATCTTGATCGCGTTTCAAGTTTGAAAAACAATGCTCGTTATAAGTGGTCTAAATTTTAAAATAGCAGAATCGCAGTAGTATTAAAATAGTTAGACAAGTTTAAGTGTTTCTGTTAACATACCAATACACAGATTAGGATTGGCCAGCCCCATATCCCCCCTACCCCCTCACTCCGCATTGCGGAATTCGGCGGCATAGTAGTTCCGCCCTTGGACCATTGTTGAATAAATATTGACGAAAAATATATGTGTATATATGCAAATTGTAAACAACATACCTTTTTTAAGCATTAAAATTAAAAAAAAAAGCAACGCTATTCCAATTATTGTGCATGTCAGGAACATATTTGCACTGCAAAACAAAATATCAATTAAGGAAAATGATATCTATATATTAGCACAGATCTAGGTCTAGGTCTTGATCACATTCTTAGGTCAATCTGTGTCAGCCCTTTTTCCATTTTGTAAACGATAACTATATATTTAATGAAAAAAGCCTCTCCCTAAATAGTAAATGTAGGCACTTATTTTAAAAAAATTAAAAATGATTTCGATGAACGATAGAGAAATTACGCAATGTTCAAAGATTCGCTCACATAGAAACGGGGTTGGGGGTGGGTTAAAAATAATAGAAAAGAGGCGAGTCGAATTTTTAAACGATGTTGGCTAAAGCGGTGGAGTATTTATACAAAGTAGTTATTTTTATTTTAATGAAATACTGTCCAAAATGATAAAAAGTTTTATGTTGGATTAAGGTGTAAATGTTAATGTAGTTGTGGTTGTAGATTTAGGTGTAAGGGTTTGTGTAGATATAGAAGTGGCTGTAAATATATGAATAGCTGAACATAAAGGTGTGATTGTTGTTGTTTTTGTAGATGTAAATTTGTGAGTTTAAGTGTTGGGGTCGATGTATAGTTTTTTTTTTTAATGATGTACCGTTTTAAGGGGATAGACTCTAGAAAAAAAACTCCTCAATTAAAAAGTTTTATTGATTCATTTGTGTATATCTAAGTTAGGGTACTCAAAGGAAAATATTTCCATGCATCGGGGACTCTTAGAAATTATGGTTGCCATGGCAACTGTGGCCATTATAATGTAGAGATTTGTAGATAGAGGTGGGGGTGGTTTTAGGGTGTTAAGTATGAGATGTTGTTTGGGTTAATGTAAAGGTTCGTGTATCGGTCGGTGTACATTGGTGTATAAATATTGCTTGGTATTTGGGTTGTTGTTGTTGCTAGGGTTAGTGTATGCGTTAGTTTTGATGTTAGGTTAGGTACTGGTAATGGAATAAAGTCGGACGATAGGCTAATTATTGGATTACAATGGCGAAGTGTTGAGAATTAAGTGACATTTTTGTTAGCAGAAGGATTAAAGAGATTTCTGAAGCGAATTTGCTTTTCCACATTTTTGCCAGTTACACTGTTGCTCTATCTACTTAATGCTAAGGCACATACGATGTAGACCTATTATATATGTCTGGCTGGCTATTGCAGGCGTTCTAAAATGTAAGGGTTGTTTCGTAATTATCTTTTTTTGTTTTTTTTTTATCTTTTTATCCGGCGGGTGGGGGCGGACTTAATATTGTTGGGGTGGGGGCGGACTAAAATAACCGGGGGCACTGTTAAAAGTATATATTTTCTATATAAGTTCCTTTTTGTTCGAGTGGGGGGGGGGGAGACAGTAGACTCACCCTGCCCCCCCCCCCCCCCCCACCCCGAAGAGATGAATGGAAGAATCACTGGTGTAGATTAAAACCAATTAATTATTTACGCTAACAAACACAACTCAAACAGCACCAACACAATGCAAGTCAATCTGCCTTTTAAGACTAAGACGAAAGCCTATTGAATTGAATATACTAACTCATCTCCAATCGCTACACCCAACACCCAAATTTGTAAAGGCGTTTATATTTAGTTTAAAGATTATCTTTTTTTAAAAATTTATTGTCTAGATTAGGGGTCCCCAAATTACGGCCCGCGGACCAAATGCGGCCCGCGAGGTCGTCTCATCCGGCCCACGGACAAATCAATGTTTGCTGGATGTAGCTGAGGAACTTTGCCCAGAAAATTCAAATAAATTTGAAAATGTAAATTAAGTGCAAATACTTTGCCCATCGTGTTGCAGACTTTGGTGAACATGGTGAATTTAATAACGTCACGTGTGCTCTGAGAGACGCTGAAAGATTCTAACACAGAATCGCAAGATTTACCATATTATACAGTAGTAAGATGACTAAGTTGTGAGACAGTTCTGAGCAGAGTATTTAAGTTAAGAAAGTAAATATGTTACTTCCTCGAAAGGAAAGGCGAGCCACAGCCATTAATGTCTGATGAAGAGTGGGTATAGAAATCAACCTATGATGTATACAAAGGTAGTCATTTAAATTTTGTGAACCTAAAACTACAAGAGAGGGGCATCTAGTTTTTGATATATACACCCATAAAGGGTTTAACAATATGAGTCACTAATTAACTCAGTGTTAAGATTTGATACTTATTTTAATTTTAATACATGAAGGTTAACATAGAGTAATTATCAAAGGAGCAAACACAGATTACTTTTTATTTAACCAAGTATTGGCAACCAGTCAATGACAATAATGTATATTAATAAAATTCACTTTAGCTATTAAGGGACCTCTTGTCCAACGAGACAAACCTAGGACAAACAAGTCTTTCTGTAGCTGCGGCTATATATTTATGTGTGGTATGACTCAATAGAGCATATTTGCCACATTAGGTACCCATAAGAGTTGGGTGGACTCAGGGACGATCTACTGACTTGAACCCGGATTCAAACCTGAGACTTGCGGGTTAGCAGTTCAGCTCTCTCCCGCTAGACCAATCCACCCCCTACCACTGTAAATTTGACCTAGGCACTTTGGGGGGGGGGGGGGGGGAGGCGAAAAAGTGAGGATTAAGTAGAATCTAACACAATTCAAACCACTTTTAGTAGATAGTATAATGAATGTTAAATTCACATATTTGAAGGTTTAATAGTATACCCACGAAAAGCATTTATCATTTTGATAAGATGTGATTTCTATTAGCATTCAGTGTGCGTGAGTGTGCATTTAGCAATTCAGAGAGTTTAGGCGTAGATATTTTTACCGATTATAGATTTTAGAGCGTAATACACGAAAGTAGTGAATCTGGTAGCTTTGGTCTTTTAACACAATACAGCATATCTTTAAATCAATTAATACAATCATCATAGTCTGTAGGAAGACGTTTGTATTAAGCGTGATTGATTTTAATAAAGTTAGGCTCTATGTTTTCGCTAACTTTTTAAAATAAACAATTTCTTAATAAATCTTATGGTATTCATAAAAGCCTTTTGGCATGCAGACGGAAATAATTGATTTTGCTCACTATGTAGTCTATTGTATAACTAGTCTTGCCATCAGCTTTGCGTATAATTTTTAAAAAAAGCGGGGAATAATGTAAAACCATTGTCAGGTGCGAAGCTAAAATCATGTCGACCAAAGGGGCAAGTATGCCACGGGTGTTACATAGGTGGTGTGTGGGCATTTTGCGATCGGGGAAACTAATTCTACCATGTCAGTCAGTCACGATTTTGAAGCTCCTTCCATATCGAGAAAAAACGAACTATTCATTGATTTTAAATATAAAACTATAGATTGGTTATTTTATAGTAACCAATACTCACGCTTAATTATAACACGTAATTATATATATTTGGGACCTTTTTTCCTGATATTTTTTATTGTTAAGATCAATGTTAGTGCTCTAAGGACTTAAATCAAAAGTATTCAGACTCATCGTCATAGTGACTTTCCCGCAATCCTTACTTTTCGCATTATGTGCGCAAATCACCATCTTAGGTAAACACATTCTTTCGTCAACAGTGGATGTAATGTATACAATTTTTTTACATTTTGCTGATGTGGTAAAGGTTTAAAATCATAAGTTAGGAAGGTTTTCTATATAACATGTATGTAACGTAGTAGAAAATTGACAAATATCTATATGAGAAAAAGTTACAGACTATTTCACTATATAGATTGTATATTGCCATATGAGTGTTCAACTCAATGTCTCTCTTCGGCCTATTACATTGCCATACGCATTATATATATATATATATATATATATATATATATATATATATATATATATATATATATATATATATATATATATATATATATATATAAGAAGCCGGATTCAATAAATTTCAAATTAATCTATTA